GGTCAGTCAGTGCTGGTTACTGTGTTAATGTTGCATGTGTGGTGTGTGTACATAGGCGATGTGTGATGTCATGCACATTTGTGGGAGGTAGCAATGGGGCCCAGGAAGAAAGAGAAGGATCCCAAACATGCTTTTCAGCCATGAGTGGGCTGGAGAGGCCGAAATCTTCCGACCAGAGGGAGTGATGGAGGCCATCGCTATTGGATGCCCTCGTGTGTAGTGGTACCTTGGTTGATCTCCAGAAGCTGGCACTAGGCTGGAGGCTCACCTCAACCTCTTTTCTCCCTGTGGAAGGTTCTTACCAAGGTGCCTAAGAGAGGAGGCTTGGAAGGTAGATGGGGGGTTCGATTGTAAGCATGACACTTGGCTGTTGTCCTGGGTAATGGGGAGCCTGTGCAGGGCCATGGCATCACCTTGTGTGTGAAGAACTGTAGCGGGTGAGAATGGGACCGAAGGTAGGAGGTGGGTGGGCTCTGTGCCACTGAGCCCCGTGATTGTCCCCAGGGCCTGGGGACCTTGGCAGGCTTGGGGAGGGATTTGAGCCTCTTGGGGCCTCGTTGCCTCTGTGCAGCAAGTGCTGCATTGGAAGAGTGAACATTTCTACCAGAGCTGAAGCCCTCAAGGCAGGGGAAGCAGGGGCTGGGGAAAGTTGGGATCTTAGGCTGCAGGGGACTCTAGGCTACCATGCTATGAGAAAGGCTGCATCCACCCAAAAGATAATCCATGTGTATGGCGCGGTGGGCAAGGTGGAGTGACAAAGGCACCTTGCCTCTGTAGAAGACTTCCTTTCAAGAGTTGCAGCAGGCCGGACACGGTGGCTCATACGTGTAATTCCAGCATTTTGGGAGGCCAAGGCAGGTGGATCACCTGAGGTTAGGAGTTCAAGACCAGCCTGGCTAACATAGTAAAACCCTGTCTCTACTAAAAATACAAAAATTAGCTGGGCGTGGTGGCACGCCTGTAAATCCCAGTACTCAGGGAGGCTGAGGTAGGAGAATTGCTTGAACCCGGGAGGCGGAGGTTGCAGTGAGCCGAGATTGCACCACTGCACTCCAGCCTGGGTGACAGAATGAGACTCAGTCTCAAAAAAAAGTTGCAGCAATTTGATTTTTTTCACACCGCAGCTTTTCAACACCCCTGATCATTGTGTGCCTGGAGGGGTGTTAGCCAGGCAGACAGCAACACTGTTCTGGGAAGATCTTGAAGACAGGGCCGCCTTGAAGGGCACTCAGCCAAGTGACCTGCCACCCAGCTAGCAGGACAGAAGTGGACATGTCCAAGGCAGCCCCACTATGCATGTGCTCTAGCGGCAGACCTTGACATGGGCTTTAACTGGTGCTCACCTCCATGGGTCACTGAGGTGCTGTGTCTAAGGGTCGTCGTCGTCGTCTTCTTTTTAAAGTTCTTCTTGTTTGTTTGTTTATTTATTTATTTATTTTAAGACAGATTCTCACTCTGTCGTCCAGGCTAGAGTGCAGTGGTGCGATCTTGGCTCACAGCAACCTTTGCCTCCTGGGTTCAAGTGATTCTGTGGCCTCAGCCTCCTCAGTAGCTGGGATTAAAGGCGTGCACCACCAAGCCCCACTAATTTTTGTATTTTCAGTAGAGACAGGGTTTCACTATGTTGGCCAGGCTGGTCTTGAAATCCTGGCATCAAGAGATCCACTCACCTCAGCCTCCCAAAGTGCTGAGCCACTGTGCCTGGCCTACGGATCTTCTTAGCAGAGTGTCTGGAGCAGAGGAATGCTGTTGCTTTAACACATCCCTCTGTGGGGCACTCTGGGTGGTGAGTGGGAGGGCTGATGTTGACCTCCAGGTTTCCCTCGCTTTTGGCCACAGCCTTTTGGCGTGTGTTTGCTGGTTGCCTTCTGAGGGCAGAGCTGAGATTCAGGGATGAACCAGTCACACTGGACTTGGGACAATAAGCCATTGCCGTAGAGTGTTCAGGGGCTCTCACCCAGCCTGGGAGGTGGGGCTAGGAAAGGCTTCGGGTGGGGGTGTCACATCCTCCAGAGGTCTTGCCTGGGAAGCCCCGGGTGCTTCCAGCCTTTCCAGGAGAATGGACCCTGTTTCCGAGTCAGAGGCCACCCCCGCTACCTCCCTGGGGGTTGATCTGGCCACAGGGTGGGGCTTCAATGGTGGAAGCTGGGCAAGATGGATTGTTCCCTCCCGCATACTGGGGAAGTGCCACCCGATAGCCGCTGCTGACCCTGGGTCACCCACGCTGCCTCTGTCCAGTGGGCCAGGGAGAAAATCATTAATGGGAGGCCGGCTTCTGGGGCAGGGCAGCTCCCCTCGGGGACCCGGGGCAAGGAGATTGGTTTGACCTCTGGTCGATAAGGTCTCCTGTGAGCAGGAGGAGAGTTGGAAGACTGGGAGGGACGCCAGAGGCCTGCCCTTGGGGGAGGGGACAGGGCCAACCACCTTCGGAAGTCATTCCAGGAAGGTCAAAGGCCACGGGTGGGGGTTCTTCGGGACAAATGCCCATCAGGTGTGGACCTCAGGGGCGCTAAAGTTCCTCTGTGCCTGAGCAGCAGGATGTGGAAGGAGGCGGGCCCCAGGTATCAGATCCGGGCTGTGAGGAGTGGGGGAAGTGAAGAGGAGGCACACTTGGTGGGCCAACAGGCCAGGCCCTGCCTCAGCGGGCTGTGTGGTTTGGAGCAATGGACTTAACTTTTCTGGGCCTTAGTGCCTCCATCCGTTCAATGGGGGTGGTAAGTGTTCCCATGGCGCAGGTTGTCAGGACTATCAGAAGCAATAGCATCTCCCCAAATGTGAATCTGGTTTGTAGGGCTTCGCCTAGAGCCCCATAAAGGGTTCCCTTGTGTTCTATCACAAGTGACGCCTACTGAGCCAGGCACTGCTCTGAGCACTTAATATATTGCTGTATATGTTTAATCTTTACAGCCACTCATGAGGAGGGTGCTGTTATCATCATGTTATTTTATAGGTGAGGAAACAGGCACTAGAGTTTAATAACTTGCATATGGTCCCTTAGCTGGAGAGTGGCATAGCCTGGGTTTTGAACCTAGGGCCAGTTCCTGATGGCACTGGTGGGGCAGACAGGGCCCTACAAGGCAGTGGCCTGCAGGGGATGGGGCACAGGAAACATGGGCTTTGGGGTCAGAAGGCCTGGAATTAATTCTGCATTACTGCTCTGGGGCCTTGTCAGTGGAGCTGACAGTTTCCTCATCCACAGTGTGGGGTGATGCTATCACCCTGAGGACAATCACAAAGGTTCAACAGTGCTGTCCCGCAGACATACCTGTGGGCCCAGGCCAGGATCGAGGGATATGTGCAGGTCAGCGTGGGGACAGAGATCCTGGTGTAGCAAATGAAGGAAACACATCCCTGCCCTTGGGAGTTCACAGCTGAGAGGTGAAACAGATGTTCAGGCAGCCAGGGTCCCAAGAGCTTTACCATGGGCTGGGTGGGGCTGTGCCAGCCCGGGAATGGCGTCCCTTGTGACTAGCATTGTGATAGACTTTGTGGGCACACAGGAAACAAACCCAGAATGCTGTCTGGGCTTCAGGAATGGCTCAGCCTTATGGTTAACATGGGACAGGACATGCAAACAACCAGCAGGGTGTAGGGGACCCTACGCCAATGCTAAATGGCATGACAGCAGGCCTTTTCAATATTTGTTCATGCATCCATTCAAGAAGTGTTTGAGTTTCTACCGTGTTAGGTGCTGTGGAATAGTGGCAATGGGAGACACCGCTCCAGCTTTCTCTCTCTCTCTCTTTTTTTTTTCACGGTACTACCAGCCTACTGGGGCCAAAAGACAAAACCCAGATCAGTGCTGGAAAGAAGCACAAAGCATGGTGGAAGGAGGGAGAGTCACAGAACTTCAGAGAGGGGTCCAGGAAGGCCTGCATGAGGAGGTAACATTTGAGCAGAGACCTGAGTGAGCTCAAGGGCTTAGAATGTAAGGATCTGGGGAAGAGCATCAAAGCAGAAGGAAGAACAAGTGCAAAGGCCCTGGGGCAGGAGTGTGTTTTGATTTTGGAACACCCAGAGCCATGCCAAGGTGGCCAGTGGCTAGCATGGCTGGTAGGGGGTCGTGGTGGGGGAGGAAGGTGAAAAGCAGCCAGAGGCTTGCCTTGCAGGGCCCTGAGGCCTTGGAGGAGTCCTTCACCGAAGTGTGATGGGAAGTCCGGGAGAGTGTGGAGAAGGGATGAGGTTTGGTGGAAGAGAGACTACCAGCGGGCGAGAGTGGAGGCAGAAGGCCAGTGAGGAGGCAGATGCAAATTGTCCCAATGAGAGGGGAAGGAAGATGGGAGCAGTATGTGTTGATGTCACCAGAGAAGGCTTCCTGGAAGATGTGGACAGGCACAAGCTAAGCCTTGAGGGAGATAGAATTTTGGTGGCAGATGCAAAGCAAAGGCTTCTCCTAACTCAGTATGTGGGCAGATGTTTGGAGTGGGAGTGAGCATGAGGACCCTCGTGGGGTGAGGAGGAGACCCCCGCATCAGCTTCAGGGGGTAAAGTCACAGCGGACTCTGCCACGCTGGCTCCCTGGACGAGGCTCTCCAGGCCTCCCTCCTTCCCCATGGACCCAGTGCTCCATCCCCTCTCATTCCTCACCCATGTCCATATGGATTTAGTACTTTTCTTCCCGTTTACTCACGTAGGCTCGCAGCCACCCCGGGATGGAATCAGGGTGGGGACTCTGCCCCTCCATTTTACTGAGAATCATTCTTGCTTTACTGTGTGGCTGCGGTGGAAAGAGAAGCTTTGTTGTCACATCGACCTAGGCCTGATTCTTAGCTTTGCCACTTTCTGGCTGGGCCACCGTGGGCAGCTTGCCTCACCTCTCAGAGCCCCGGTGCCTCATTTTTGAATGGGAGTAGTGATGGGCTGGTTATCAGTGTGTGCCAAGGCCTGGCTCAGAGCCAGTGTAGAGAAGCCCTTGGTCTTTGTGGTGGCCATGGCTGGCTCCTGCATGCAGCGGGCCCGGGACATCCAGGGTGACTCACTGTGTCCTTTTCCCTGCCCAGGTGCTGGTTGCTGAGGACAACGTGGACTTCCGCATCCACGTGGAGAACCAGACGCGGGCTCGGGACGATGTGAGCCGTAAGCAGCTTCGGCTGTACCAGCTCTACAGCCGGACCAGTGGGAAACACATCCAGGTCCTGGGCCGCAGGATCAGTGCCCGTGGCGAGGATGGGGACAAGTATGGTATGTGCCAATCCTCTCCTCCTACCCTGTGTACATACTCTTCCCGGCCTCAGAGACCTCAAGTTCAAATGCCGCTCTGCTGGTCCTGGCTGATCTTGGACCTGACACTGATTCCTTCTGGGTCTCAGTTTCCTGATCTGTAAAATGGGGATGTAATGGTGAATCCTTGAGAGCACTGTTGGGAGTACTAACTGAAGATGTGAATGAAAAGTTCTTTGGCTGGTAAATGCCCCATAAGTGGCATCTGCTGTGGTATTGGTGACTTGCCTGGGATGGCCTAAAGCAGGTGGCTGTTCCCATAGGAACAGCCCTAGGTTCAGCCACTTCAAGGGGCAGGAGCCTCTGGGTGATGCTTTCTGGAAGCCGGTGGTGGTGGAAATCGGCCTAGTGCGTGTATTATGTGTGTGTGTGCATATGGGCTCTTTGAGCTTCAGCCTGTGCGCTTGTGATATGTGGCACTCATAACACCTTGGGCCCTGATCCTGTTGACCTGCCCTTGACCCTGGAACTGCCCATCCCTCCTGGAGTACTTGGGAACTCTCCCCACTTTCCTGCCTATGCTGCCTCTGCAATGGCTGGTAGGAGTGAGACATCCCAAGCCCCTGGCCCACAAAGGTGCTCAGCAGTGAGAGAAACAGGCAGCACTCCACCTTCCCAGGGCTTGGAGGGCATCTGGCCTAGACAGACGCTGAGCAAATACCACGTAGATTATTTATTTAAAATTGCCAGGCAGGAAAAGCGGAGACTGCTTCGAGGCCTCCTGGTCCTTGCTCCTCACCGGGAAAGCATCTGCCCCCCCCCGCCCGTTCCTGCCTTCTCAGGCCCAGATTCTGGGAGGTGGTCCAGGCCCCAGCCTTGAGCCTGGGGAGCTGGGGCCGTGGTCCTCTGTGTGGGGCCAAACCTGCCAGCCTGGGCGTTTCTGGGACGATGCCCCGCCAGCCCTGCCCGTTGCAGTCAGGACGTGACAACAAGACAAATAATTTCTTGGACCTTTTATCTTGGACACCATTTATTTTCCCTCAGCCCCGGGGCAGGACTGACCTCATGGTAGGGCCCAAGAGTGGCAGCTGCACCGTCACTGGGGGCTGGGCCGGCCCGGCCAGGCCGGGCAGGGCTGGGCCACGCTGCGCTTGTGCACCTCCGGGCCAGCTGCCTCCCTCCTTCATCCTGCCATCACTCTTTACCGCCTCTGCTCCCCTCCCGCTCTCTTTCCCCTTCTTCCTTTCCCGGCTCTTCCCCCTTCCCGTCTTGTTTCTGTCCACCCCCCGGGCCCCTCCCCACCAGCTCTGTCTCCGTCCTTCGGACCATAGCTTCCCTCCTCCCCACCTCTCCCAGGCCCTCTGCTGGCCGCCTCTTTGGGACCTCCCATCCCTCGTGCCCCCTTCCACAGGCGCCTGGCTGTGCTGGGCAGACCCAGGTGGTGGTTTTCCCTGGGATCTGCTGTCCAGTTGCTGCCAGAAGGGGCAGCTGGCTGGCCGGGGCGGGAGGAGGTGCCCTTCTGGGGAGTCCCCGGAGTTCTCATTGGCCCCTCCAGGCTGTGAGAGTACAGGGGGGTCAGACTCTGGTCTGAACCATCTGTCCACGCCCTGAGACCTGAGGCGGGAGCTCCAGAGGGAGGGGAGCCCGGAAATGGCCGGCCCCTCACCCCAGAAGTCACTTGCCCTCGAATTCCCTCTGCCTGAACTGGGAACTCAGGGAATCTTTCCTGCTGTGTGACCTCAGACAAGCCTTTTGCCTTCTCTGGGCCTTGGTTGCTCCTCTGCACAACACAATGGTTGGGCTAAAGCAGTGCTTTTTTTCTTTTTGAGACAGAGTCTTACTCTGTCACCCAGGCTGGAGTGCAGTGGTGTGATTTCAGCTCACTGCAACTTCCGCCTCCCAGGTTCAAGTGATTCTCCTGCCTCAGCCTCTGGAGAAGCTGGGACTATACCTACCACCATGCCCCGCTAATTTTTTATTTTTAGTAGAGACGACGGGGTTTTGCCATGTTGGTCAGGCTGGTCTCGAATTCTTGATCTCAGGTGATCCACCCGCCTCTGCCTCCCTAAGTGCTGGTATTACAGGTGTGAGCCATCATGTCCGGCCATGCTTCTTAAGTGTAATGTGTATGTGACCATGGAAGGATCCTGTCCAAATGCCCATGTTGGTTCAGTGGGTCTTGGGGGCGGGGCCTGATCTGTTGCATGTCTGACGAGTGCCTGGGCGGGGCCAGTGGACAGCGCTTTGAGTACCCAGGGACTAGGTCTTCCTGGCTTCTCTGCCAGCGACACACTCTCTAAGATTTTATGGTCCTCTCTCAAGGAATATGTTTCTATACTCCTCCGACCCACGACACCCAGGGCAGGGCAGGGCTTTGCTGGCTGCTGCTGCTCCATTTAAATGCCACATTAGAAACGCAGATGAGGCCAAGGGACCCCATCTGTGAGCCCGGGGAGAGGAAGTGAGACAATGGAGCCAATTGAGGCTTCCAATCTAGATAATCAATACAAATATTATTGGGAGGGTGATTTATGTGGCCAGGCCAGGGCAGGAGGGTGGGGCTGCTCTGCCGATCTGCATTAGGGGCCTGCCTTGTCTCGTGGGGAGGGGCGGACAGGCGGCCCAGGACAGTTCAGGAACCTGCTCCCTGCTGAGAATGATGCAGTCTGAGATGTACTACACGCTTTGTCAGAATCATATAATTTTATAACATGCAGTCTCAGAGTCTCAGCAGACACCACAGATATATCCCTGTAAACACCTGGAATCTGGAATCCCTGTGGACACTGAGAACCTCAGATTTGCCTCTGTAAAGGCCAGAATCCTGAGATGCTGGCTCTGTGGGTGGGTCTGAGGGTCTGGGTGCCCTGCCCAGGGGCTCTGGCCTGCTCCACAGTAGTGGGTGGTCCTTTGGTGAAATCTGCTTAGATGCCAGTGGGGCTTCCAGACCTTGGTCTTCTGCAAGAGGGTCTCCCTCTGGTCCCCTAAAGCTTTTCGGTACTGGGAAAGCCTTAGGGGCTTTAAGAGCAGGCTGCTCCAGGAATAAGGGATTTTCTTTGCCTTGCCTTGGGTTCTGGAGGGAGAGCACAGCTAGCCAGATGGCTGGAGGCTTAGGTAGTTGGATACCTGGCAGGTGGGAGGCTGTGTGGGAGGGGCACCCTGCCTACCTGGGGTAATATCAGCTTCCCCTCTACTTGCCCTTGCTGCTGGTCACTTCTGTCCTGCAGGCAGTTGCCATGTCACAGAACAGGAAGCAGGACACTGAGTCCCAGTTGCAGCTCTGCCCCTGAGCATCCTGCAGAGCTGGGGAACAACCTCCCTGCCTGGGCTTAGTTTCTTTATCTGCCAAGTGGGGAGGAGAAGGCCCCCGTCCACCTGCCCTTGAGGTGGATGTCCCTAAGCCTGGGATGGGAAGAGAGGGGAGACACCAACTCCTCAGAAGGAGAGCCTGGCTGAGCCCACATGCAGGGAGTTGTAGAGACTCCAGCATGGGGGGTTTCCAAAGCAACTCTGCTTTTAAAGTTTGTGAAACCTTATGATTGGATATTCCTGCCTGATTTTATTTGAAAAAAGATTTCTTTGTTTGAAGAAAAAAATGATTAAAAAAAAAAAAACATTTTGCAGTAGACCAGCCTCCAGGACTGGCAGTGCCCAGAATAACCCAGGGTAGGCCAGCAGAGGGGCCGTGCCAGCCGGGGAGATGGTATTTGGAGGATTGAGCACATCAGCGCAGGAATCCTGTGGGATTTGAGTCTTGGCTCCACCACTTTCGAGTGGGAGACCGCAGATCTGAGTTAGCCTTTCTGATCCTGTTTCCCCTTCTACAAACAGGGTAATTGAAATGAGAGAGTCTTATGCCTAAAGATTATATGATCATTAAACAAGTATTAATGATCACCACCTGATCTCCTTACTATGGGAGGAGTGTGGGAGGGTGCCGTCATGGGCTCAGGTGAGGAACTGGCTCCAGAGGCTTCCAAAGAGGACCTGGGGGAAGCAGTGGTGCTCCTGTCTGCCATCAGTGGGACCCAGGCAGGTCAGATGCAGGGAGAAGAGGCATCCTCCTGTGATTCCCAGTAGCAAGGCCTCTGCCGTCTCTGCCCTGATGAGGGAGGAGGGCTTTGGCTCCCATGATTGGGTGTGATCTCCCCTCCGTCCCTCACTCATTCAGCAGAAATTACCAAGCACAAGCAGCAGGGGAGGGGGCTGCCGTGGCCAGTGACATGCCTCGTCCCCGCCATCAAGGAGCCTTCAGTCTAGGGCCCCCTATTCCCTCTTCCTTAATAGAGGCTGACTTTGAGTAGGAAGAGCCTAGGCTGTGAACTTTCGACGTGACCCTGAGCCCGCCCGTTCTCTCCCTGGGCCTCGGTTTCCCCACCTGTAACATGGGTCGGGGAAAGGGTGTGAAGCTGGTACTCTGCAGCTTCCTCCAGCTCAGGCATGGGGTGAGTCAGCGTGCCCCAGTGCAGATACTTCCCTGAGCCCCCCAGGCTGGGTGCAGAGCCCCTGAGCCCCTGTGTTCGCCTTTGTCCCAACAAGGGTCCTGCTGCAGTGGAACCATCTGTTGATGTGGCTGGTGCCCCTGTGGAGCCTGAGCTCCTTGGAGGCAGTGACCTTGCTCTGTGCTATGTCTCCATGTCCAGCGCAAGACTTGGCAGAGAGCAGGGCCCCTTTCGAGATGGCCAGAAGGATGCATAAAATATGTATGGGGCAACTCAAAGCGTAACCAGGGGCTGCTCTCAGTGGCTCACACAGGCAGGAAGGTAGGGGCTTCAGGGCTTTTGCTGATTTGGTGATGGAGCTGGGAAGGGGTCCTCTCCTTTCCATTCCCTCATTCTGGTAGTTGCCAGAATGAGGTAGCAGAGTGGCCAGCAGCTCTGTCAGCACTGGGATCTTTGTGGCTGGCCAGCTACTGTCCACCCCTCGCAGGGCCCAAGGTCCTTTGGGCTGGTTGGGTGGCCAATGTAGCAGGGACGCCTAGTGTCAGAGTTGAGCCCCCATGGTCCATTTTCCACACACAT